AGCAGCAGATATTGGGCTTCTGGAAGCTCCTCTGTGGCATCTCCCCAGGCCGACACCATGGTCTCCTATCACTGGCCACACACCAGCATCTCGCCTCGGACATTTGCCCTCTCGGCTTCTCCTGGGCCTGGCATGTTCTCCTGGCATTACCAACCTTGGGAGCTGTCTCCTCTCGCAGGTGCCTGAGGTGAGACTGTCCTGGCCTTGTTCTTGCCCGTGGACAGAGACTGGAATCACAGGGAGATATAGCAGGGGCTAAAAGCTGGTTTGGAGTGTCAGGGCTAGGGAGGGCTTCTCTGCCTCCCAGACAAGGCAAGTGGAATGCAGGGAACTGAGGGCCTGCCCAGGGCCAAACAGGGGCTCAGGACCAGGACCTCTGCGTCTGCACCTTGGCTACAGGGACCGGCGCATTCCTGTCGCTGGAAGGCACGAGCTCCCAGGACCTGCTGTGTCAGGCCACAGCCCCATCAGCAGCATCCCGGGGACTCAAGGACGCTAGCTCACCTCAGCAGCTTTGGGTCACACGGGTGAGGACCTCAAGCTCAGAAGGAGCAGCGTTGAAACCAGCCTGACAGCAGGAGGGGAATTCCTGGCAACCAATGCCTTTAAAAACGGGGCATCAACCACCTGGGTGGAATCACCTACCAACCCCTGTCACTCTGACGCCCTCAGTGGGCACGGTGCTCCTCCCATCTCAGCTGCCCCCATGGGCACTCAGCTCCGCACAGCCTGATTCCAGCTCTAGGGCACACATGGGGTGGGTTTGGAGCGTTCACCCTTCCTGTCCTCTGAGGGACATGCCACAGGCCAGGACGACACGTGGCAGAACTCACGGCAGCAGCTGATGTGCCAGCTCCCCGGCTCCAACCACGTGACCTCGCACCAGGCGGCCCAGCTGCATCCCAGGCCCTCACACCCAGTGGAGGTTCATCCCATCAGCACCCAGGAGTGACCCTCAAAGCCCCTCCCTCAGACCCAGACCCCCAACATAACACAGCCAGTATGTTATGTGCAAAGGTGCCAATGCTTTGCAACTGCCAAGCGAAAGGGACCCTCCTGTCCCTCCACCTGCCTCAGCACCCCAGGAGTGTAGGCCCAAGTTGCGAGCACCATGCCCACAGGGAACTGTGGCTTCAGTGCCAGGCACAGGTGGCTGTCCTCTCCAACACAGGCACCCTGCACGGAAGGCGCCGCCACCAGGAGCCTGCCACAGAGGACAAGACACAGACTCAGAGCCCAGAACCCTGGCCAAGGCAGCCCAGCCACAGGGCCATGTCCAGACACAAAGCGCTGCCACCTGCCCCATGCCCAGCAGGTAGTGTCCGGGCTACCTGCAAGGACCCAGGTCCCTAGCACCCTCCTGGCCCCTGGCCCCACACAGACGGGGGAGGCCCTTTTCCCAGGCTATAGGCTCTTTTGCCACCTGGACTGCCTCCTCCCCAGCTGACAGCCAGGTGTAAGGAATTCCTGTGTTCCCACCAACTAATACGAAGCCACAGTTAGGCACTCGGTGTGTTGACAAGGGTGGATCCAGAAACACTGGGCTGGGTCTGCAGTGAGGGCATCCCAGACAGCCAGGAGATGAGACCCAGGGCTCGGGCCCCACAGAAGGTGGCACTGGGAAAAGCCCCAAAAGGAATTCCCAGTTTTACTGGGAATCTAGGGCTGAGGAGTGGGTGGAGGAGTCTTAAAGAAGATGGAGAGAAAGAGATCTGGTGGCCCAAAGGGCCCCGTCCTCCTCTGTGCCCACCTCCGCCACCTGCCTTGGCTTCTGGCCTCCTGCCTTCTGCCCAGCTGCAGAACCACCACCCAGCAGCTGCTTTGGACTCCAGTGCTGGAGCCCAGGGACAGGAGGGCACTGAGGGCCACAAAGTTGGGCACTGCAGCCTGAGAGCTGGCCTCTGCATGGCCTCGTCTTTTGGGGAGGCAGCCAGATCAGCCCAGTCTGCCCGCAGGACCCGCTTCTGGCTCTATCTGCGAGGGTTCTGCCAACACCCCTGGAAAGTTCTTGGGAAACAGGAAAGCCAGGGCTGTGGGAGCAGGGAGCAGGGGCTGCTGAGCCAGGCTTGGGTTTGACAGCCTATGGGGCAGTCTCCATGCACTCCAGGTCCTCCCTCAAATCCCTCCCCTTGGCCACAACCAGGATCTCTAAGCATCTCAGCAACCAGAGTAGATGCCGGCTGGATGTGCACACCCCTAGCCAAGGCTCACAGCAAGAGATATAGGACCTCTGGGTGCAGCAGGGCTGTATGGACCCCTGTGCTCTCAGCTAAGATGGGGGCTGCCACCAGTGGGGATGCAAACAGCCATAGATGACAACTGGGGGTGTTGAGGCAGGAAGCCTAAGCGGGCAAGGGTCATGGCCCAGGTGCCATGTCCGCCCCAGTCAGCCAGGGAGGCCAGAAGGAACACAGGAAGAACTGCTCTCCTGGGGGCGGAGGTTCCCCGAGGAGGGGACAGGATATCCTGGCTGGCCTCCCCAGCTGTACACAGGAGAGTTTGCCCTAGCCCTGCAGGTCAGCGGGACACCAGCTCCTGCCTCACCCCACTGCATGCACGACCGGGCCCTGGCTCCTCAAGGCCAGGCTTGTCATCCTCAGGCCAGAAACTACAATACTCCTCATTTCACAATCCACCTAAAGACAGGGCCCTGTCTCTGCTACCATTGCCAACATTTCTTACAGTAACCCCAAGGCTGGACTGGTGCAGGGCTGGACCCGATTTCGTGAGGCTGCAGGTGGCTGCCAGCCACTCTGCCATCCTGGCTCTACGGCTGGGTCTCCCCAGACTGGTCCTGCCAACCTCCTAGAGCACTGAGGGTGGGGGCACATCTCCCAGGCCCCTGCCAAGCCACATGCCCTGCCAGCCAGGGTCTACCTCCAGTCCCACCCCACATGGAGGGACCTGGGTGGGAGGCTGTTCATGACAACTTCCCAGGGCCAGGAGAGCTGGCCTCTGCATGGCCTCATCTTTTGGGGAGGCAGCCAGATCAGCCCAGTCTGCCCGCAGGACCCGCTTCTGGCTCTATCCGCAAGGGTTCTGCCAACACCCCTGGAAAGTTCTAGGGAAACAGGGAAAGCCAGGGCTGTGGGAGCACATCTTACAGGGACAGGGCCCAGAGCTGGAAAGGACCAGCCCCAGGTCTGGACACTTCACAGAAGCATCCCTTTCCTGGCCACCCTCTCACAGAAGCCATCCTGCCCCTGTCCCCAGAAGCCACCCCTGCCTTGCCAGCTCTGCGGAGGCTGGGTAAAGGCAGACTCTGCTGAGTAAACGTCCGAGACCTAAACAATCTGAATCAGGAAGAAAACACAAGTGCAAGCAGAGACTTCCTCTGGGGTGCGGCAAGCCCTCTTCCTCCTCCTCTGCACGGGCGGCTACAGTGAGCCCGGGAGGCATGTGCCCACTAACCTGCATGCAAGTGAGAATTGAGGGGGGGGCTGTGGGCATTTTGCCTGGTATCTGGCTGAGGGGTCTTCCCACCTCTGGATATCTCAGAGAGTTTGGGGGCCAGGAGGCAGCATGCAGTACCTGTGAGCCTGGCATCTGCTGAACATTTGCACAGTGGCATCGGACTTGGGTGGGGTGCTCTGGGGTCACTGCACACAAACATCTCCCAAACCCCAGGCCAAGCTCCTGCTGCCGCAGCCATGAACAGAGCCAGCTCCTCTCACAGACCACCAGTGGCCAAGGCTCAGGCACCCGCTGACATGTCAGGAGGCAGAGACTTGGGAGCCGGGGTGGGGAAAAGTCTCTAAGACTACACCCCAACCACATCTTTGAGGACAGAGGTGGCTGAGACATCCTCTTCCTGATGTGGAAGGCCACCTCTCTCAGCAAGGAAGGCAGTAGCCCTGGGACCCCCACACCACCCCCTTTCCTGAGGACATGCTTGAAGCCAGCTGGGGCCTGGCTCCTGTTGCACCCCCCCTTGAGGGCCCTGGTGGCAGCTGCCAGCAGGCAGGGCAGGGACAGACCCCTGGATGCCCTCCAGCCAGTTCTCTCTTGAGCCTGGCTGAGGCAGAGGAGATGCTTCCACCTATGAGGACCCTCAGGGAGACCATCCTTGCAGCCTTCGGATGAGCCCAACAGCAGTCAGCCATGGGATGGCTGGGTAGAGGCTCCCAGAGGAGCCAGAGGCTGGCACCACACCAAAAGGCTGCTGGCTGGGCAGCCAGGAAGTAGGGCCACTGGTATGGCAGGGGAGGGCCCCAGGCAGGCATCAAGGAGAGCAGCCTGGACCTTCCTGGAGGTGACTTCCCTGCTCGGCCTCGGCGAAACCCAGTGCTCAGCCCGGCTCAGGCACGCTGTGCCGGGAATTGGAACCACCTGGTGATTGGGAGGGCCAGGTGTGTCTTGTTCTCCAGGAGCACAGCTACCTCTGAATTCGGGCTGCAAACCTGCCTCTCCATTCTGCATCAGGCCAGATTTTCCTGGACTTGTTGGGCTAATATGGGGCCGGTGGGAACGTCTATGCCATGCTGACCCCTCCAGTGGCACCACTACCATCACCATCCTACCCTGGACAGCCCCCTGCCCAGAGTCCATCTGAGCCTCAGGGGGTCTGAGATGTAGCACCAACGGGGTGTCAGGCCCCTCTCCTCTTGGGGGCTCCTGAGCCTCCGGAGTCTCAGCCGACCTTGAGTTCTCTTACTGCACTCAAGGTGCGCTACCCAGCAGGCTTCTCTTCCCAGAACAACTCACACCTGGACCGAACCTACCAGAGGAGGGCAACCAAATTCTGGGTTCCAGGCGTTCCCTCCCCAGCCGGCTCTCCCCCCCACACCGGGCCTGAAAGCAGCTGTGCACCCCCCAGACACAGCAGCGCCCCTGAACTTCACGGGGCCGTGCAGAGCTTGTGTTTCTGCGTTCCCCACTTCCTTCCCTCCTCTGCTCCGGGGTCGCAGCTCCGATGGGGCAGGTGGCGCTGGGACAGAACTCCCCCACACCAGCTCTCAGGAAGCACCTTCGTGCCGGCTGTCGCGGATGGCGATACTCACACAGCGAAGTGGTAGACGAAGCATTTCCAGCCCGTGGGACGCTCGAGGAAGTTGTAGACGCGGCCCTGGACGTGGGTGCGCGCCAGCAGCGGGCGGCGAGTGCTGTAGATGGAGACGCGCGGGTCTAGGCTCACCGGCGGCCGCGGGCCAAGGTCGGAGGGAACTGTGGGTGCGGCGGACGCGGCCGGGGACGCAGGGGGCGCGGGCCCTGGGGCGCCTGGCGCGATGGGCGCGTAGAGCGCGCCGCCCGCGGGGCCGCCCTCCGCCAGCTCCAGCGAGAAGGGGCACTTCTTGGCCAGGCCCGCGCTGCCCCGCCGGGCGCCTGGCAGGCGGCCCCAACCCCAGCGCTTCCTCTCGGCCCTGGGCGGGGAGGAGGCCGCGGCCATAGCGAGGAGGGCCCGCGGGGGGGCCGGCCCGGGCGGCAGCACCGGGAGCTGCAGCGAAGGCGAGCGCCGGGGCACAGTGCGAGCAGCCGTTGCTGCCAGCCCCGCCGCGCGGGGCCGCTGCCCGCCCAGCCCGGGAGCTCGGGGCGGGGCCGGAGGGGGCAGTGGCCGAGGGCCGGTCCCACGAAGCGGCGTGCCCCGCCCCCGCCCGCACGCCCCGCCCCCGCCAGCAGGCGCTCACAGGGCATCCCTTCCCGGGCCCACCGGCTTGGCTCTGCCTCCGCGCACCCCCTAGCTTGGTCTGTCCCCGCCCCCGCCAGCCCACACCTGCTTAGTTACACCCGCCCCGCCTGCATCTACCCCGCTTGGCCCCGCCCCTTCACGCCCACCTGTTTGACCCCGCCCATCTGTTGGGCCCCCGCCCCGCCCACCTGCTTAGCCCCGCCCACCTGCAGCTCCCTGCTTGCTTCTGCCCTGCCCCCGCCCACCTGCTTGGCCCCCCACTTGGGACGCCCGCCTGCTCTGTCGGGCCCGCAGCACCACCCCAGGGGTGCCCGGGAGGAAGGCGCAGGCCTGTCGGATATACTACGACAGTGAGCTGCATGGCCCGTGCCGGAGGGGCGGGGTAGGATGCCGGCATCTACTTTCCCGCCATCTGAGCCGCTCTGGAATTGGGGGTGGGGGGAGAAAAGGGGCGTCCTGGGTGAGGGTGTGCTGGCCTCGCGATCACTTGAGCACCCCGGGTGCCCGGGCGCGCAATCCGTGGGTAGAGAATGCGCTTGGGTCACTTTCCACCAGGGCCCTTGGACCCGGAGGGTGAGATGGGACCACCAACTGTCAGGCACCCCCCTAGTGGGAACCGTGCGGGTGGGGAGCCTGGGGGCTGCTGGCGGGGACACAGCCCAGGGTCTGGACCTGGTTTGACTGCTGGGCATGGGGGGCGGGGCTGCCTGAGCAGGTCAAGGGAGAGGCCCTTGCGCCACCCTAGGGACTTGGAGAATAGGCACCTTGTCCTCTCTACCCGCGGGACCAGGCTGACGCTGCGCTCCCCTAGGTGGGGGTGTGTTGGTCACATCGGAAGGTTTTCACAGCTCTCTGCACTGCCTCCCTCCCACTGCTGGCATTTAGATCTCAGCCATCTCAGGCTTGGGGGGGTGGGGGTGGGGAAGCCAACAGAAGAGACCAGCTTTTTTCGGGACATTGCACACCACTCCGAGGCAGGGACTGGAGGTGGAGCTCAGCAGAGACTCTCAGCCCCACCAGGAGTCCCAGAACTTAGGGACACTTCCAGGGCGTCACCAAGCACCCTGGGCGGATTTGATGTATCCACCACCCCTCTGCCCAAAGCCCACTCTTTTATCATGGATGGGGTCCAGCCCAGGCCCTTGACACCTGACTCCCCACCCCAGAGTGGTGCCCACACACGGGTACATAGTCTGTATTTGCAGAAAGAGTGGATGGAGTGGGTCCCAGCTTGTGCTGGGCGCTGTGATAACGCAGGGGACAGAGGGGAGGGTACCTTCCTGGGAAGCACATCCTTGAAGGCACAAAAGGGGCAGTGGGCCAAAGATGGGAGAAGTCAGCTCTGCAGGGCACACAGCATGCACTCAGCAAGTACTTTCCAGATGAACACACACACACCTGCATGAAGACTCTACCTTCCCCTCCCACAGCAGCAGGAAGAAGGTGAGGTTTGAATGAGCAGCATTTGGACAGCTGGACAGCCAGAAAGAAAAAAGAAAAAAAAGAAAAGGAAGGAAGGAAAAAAAGAAAGAAAAATGATACCTTGGGTTCATCTTACCACACACAAGAAGAAATCTCAAATGGATCACAGGCTTAAGTATAAAAGGTGAGATGAAGCCACACAAATTCTACAAGCATGTACAGGTCAATTCCTCAAGATCCCATGAATCGGAAACACATTTCCAACTATGACTTGAAATCCAAAAGCAATAGATAAAAAACAGAAAAATCAAAATAAAAGCACCATTAGCAAAGTAAAAGAGGCAAATGGCCAACTGGGAAAAGTAGCTGCAGTTTCTATCACAGATGAAGGATTAATATTACCTATACATAAAGAACATCCAAAACTCAGGTGAGGAACCTGCCAGACAGTCCTATGGAAAAGGGAGCAGAAGACATGAGCAGTTCACAGGAAATGGGGTTCATGACCTTTGCACTTATGAAAAAATGTTCAACCTCATTCATATCAAGAAAAATGCAAATTAAAAGTACACTCTGATATCACTGCTTGCTTATCAGATTGGCAAAAATCCAGACCTTTGATGGCAACTCTGTGGGAAAGGCAGCAGGTGCACTCCTCATCACTGGTAGAAAAAGGACCTAGTGATTTTAGTAAATGTACCATTTGACGCATAAACCCCACTTCTAGGAAATAACCCAAAGATATGTAGGAAAAATAGAAAAGTACACATACATAATGATAGTCAGTGCAGCATTTTAATATTAGCAAAAGTCTAGAGACAGTCACAATGCCCTTCAATAGGTTCAGTTGTGCTGTGTACAGCCACATCATGGAGTGCCATGATCAATGTGATCACTAATACCCAAAGAACCAAAGGATCCCAAAGAACTGCATTTTAGTAATAATATTGGTATTGCTATTTTGCTATTATAGAATGTATATAAATATATATATGTATAAAACAAATATGCTGAATTCCTTTGCAACCAAGATTTTCAGTATAAATTCCTTTGCAACCAAGATTTTCAGTATAAAAGAGATACAGATTTAAAAAAAGAAGTACAAACCAATCCTTAAATGTGAATGGACCATATCAGCATAAACCCCTCCACTATTTTATCTTAGGAAAAAGGTGTATGCTACTGCTGTCCATTGTCAAGTTTGAGAAGGGGCTGATCAGCAACAGCACAATTTGAACATCAAAAAGAGTCATGGATTAAAATATATCAAATAGCTGAAAAGCCCATGCATTCATAATAATACTGAAAAATCCAATTGGCCCTCTGCGGGTTGCTTGGCTCATTATTGTGAAGACAAGTGAAAAGGCAGGGTGGTCAAGCAGGTATCCACCTTCCCTGTACAAACTGGACTTCAGGGTAGAAAGAGCCATACCTGCTAGCAGCACATATTGAAGAACTTCTGGCTAGAATGTGATGTGGGGGAATTGCTTTAAACAATCAGGAGGGAGTTGGGGTAGAAATGAAACAAAACTCCCTCTGAATTGGTCATCGTTGGACCTGGGGTGGGTGAATGTAGTCATTATGCTGGGCTCTAGTTTGGTACGTTTCCATATTTTTTAAAAAATGTTTTGAGATGGAGTTTCACTCTTGTCACCCAGGCTGGAGTATGGTGGCACGATCTCGGCTCACTGTAACCTCCGCCTCCCAGGTCCAAGTGATGCTCCTGCCTCAGCCTCTCGAGTAGCTGGGATTACAGGTGTGTGCCATCACACCAGCTAATTTTGTATTTTTAGTAGAGATGGGTTTCACCATGTTGGCCTGGCTGGTCTCGAACTCCTGACCTCAAGTGATCCACCTGCCTCGGCCTCCCAAAGTGCTGGGATTATAGGCATGAGCCTGTATATTTTTAAAATTCTAGGGCAGGCGCGATGGTTCATGCCTGTAATCCCAGCACTTTGGGAGGCCGAGGCAGGTCGAGTTCGAGACAAGCCAGGCCAGCATGGTGAAACCCCATCTCTACTAAAAATACAAAAGTAGCCAGATGTGGTGGCACACACCTGTAATCCCAGCTACTCGGGAGACTGAGGCAGGAGAATCAATTGGACCCGGGAGGCAGAGGTTGCAGTGAGCCAAGATTGTGCCACTGCACTCCAGCCTGGGCGACAAGAGTGAAACTCTGTCTCCAAAAAAAATACAAAAAAAAAAAAATTTCTAATAACTCACTGGAGAGGCTTCTTGGTGGCCCCAGGGCTGTTTCCTGGGGCCCAAGCTGTGCCATAGCCTGCTGCTCTGAGGGTCTGGGGCCCCACTGGCCTGGGGACTCTGAGGCAGGAGAGAGGGTGGACAAGGGGTTGTCTTCAAGCTCCCTGCAAGCTCCAAGGAGCTGAAGGGGGATGGGTGGAGAACTGAGAGGTGGGAGTAAGGCCAGGTGCACAGGTGAGGTAAGGTGGGGCTGGGCTGGGCTGGGTATGGGCTCAGGTGAGGCCAAGGGCTGAGGGTGGGGAAATAAGGGTGGGTGGCCTGGTGGAACAGGAAATACAAGTGAGGTCTGACCCAGCCCAGTGGCTGCTCTCTGGGTGGGGAAGGAATTGAGGAGGGTTCCCATAAGCTGAGGGAGCGGGACCCCAGGGTCCAAGCCTCCCAGCTGCCACCTGCTCCCTCCAGGACACACCCTCCACTAAGGAAAACTCCTCCTCTGTCATTCTCGTGGGTGCACATGTCCAGTTTTGGCCGTCCTGGATGAAAAGGCTGACAAACGTATGGAGCCCTCATGGACAGGCAGGCACCCCTCTTCCAGCCCCTCAGGCCCTCAGGCTGTCCCAGAGCCTGAGAACCTCCTGGAAACACAGCACCCACCCTACCTCACACGAACTTTCCAGGGCTGTTTGCCAACATCCTTCAGCTCACTAGGCTCACCTCATGTTTCTCCAGCAGGGTCAGAGGTCCACAGTGGGAGGAGCCTCAGCAGTCACCAAGAATGCATGAGAAATGGGGAAACTGAGGCTGACCAAGGGAAGGGTGTGTGTGCTGTGAGATCAGCATCTGTGGGCCAGGGCTGGGCTGCTGGAACAGCAGCTTCCTGGCCAACATCCTCCTTCAGGTCACCTTCCTATCTATTCATTCATTCATTCATTCATTTGTTCCCCCAGATCCTGGCAGAGCACCGGCTGAGTGCTAGATGCTGTTCTAGGCGCAGGCCACAGAGCTGTGTGCAAGATGGCCAGGTAGTGGTGAGACAAAGAAAACAAAGGGGGCACAAGATGGGGGTGCAGGCTGTGGAGGGTGGTCAGCAGGGACCCCGGGGGCATCTCCACAGAGACCCTGGAGCAGGCCCTTCAGCGAATCTGGGAGGTATTTGCTGTCGGAGGACTCTGCATGCAGTAGGCACTCAATACAGAATGGATGGGTGGCTAGGAGATGGGGGAGGGTGGCTGGACGGAGCCACCGCCCTGTATCCCTGAAGCCAATGCATCCCTCCAGAGGGACCTTCTGGCTGGCGAATGTCCCCTATGGATGTGATGCCCCTTATCCATAAGGCATCTCCCCATTTAAGGCCCTGTTGTTCAGAAGGTATGTGCACAGGTTTGTTAGTGGCACGATGCTG